AAAAAAAAAAAAGGAGGGGAGTGTAGCCTGCCTACAAGGAGCACCATCGAGAGGTACCAGCCTTAAGTTTCACTAGGCTAGACAGACAACACAGACAGACAAAAGAAATGATTGGTATTTCTAGGCTACAGCTCATGATCTGTGTGATAGGGTGTGCACACAGTATAGGCTTGCACATGCTACAGAGGGGTCGGCAAGCCTTATCTATAAAGGGTCAGGTAGTGAACATTCAGGTTTTGTGAGCTACCTACCTAGCTCACTCCACTCATCTTTTATCCCCACACACTAGCCTCAAACTACTGGTCTTCTGTCTGTTTAGAGTTCTCATTACTGGCATATTTAAAGCAGAGAAGGAAAGCATTCAAGCATGGCAAATGTCGGTAGCTTTTAAGGAAGTATCACTAAAGAGAGGTGAAGGAAAGTAGGAGACATAAGGCTTCCCCACTTTTACATATTGCTGTGTTGACCATGTAGCGAAAGCACTGATATCATTCTGGTTGTAAGCCACCAACTCAAAACGCAACACGTACCAGACAGCCATGTGCCAGACCATGCTGTATCTGGGATGGCTTCTCTGAACCCCTTCCAGCTACAGAGTATGATCCCCACAGTGGCTGGAGTTGTTTCCTACCAGGAAATGCAGGGCATATCTTTGTTATCAGAACATCAAAGACCAGGTGGACTGAACATTTCAACTTGAATGGCTAAGAGAGTTGGGCACTGCATGCCCTTGTGTCCCAGCTCACCAGAGTCATGTACCCATCTTCCCCAGCTCCAAGTGCAAGTCAGAGGTGGTTACCTTTCCTGTGGTTGACCAGAGTTTCTACCACAGCATGCAGTTTCCGTAAGCGCTGCTCCTCACCCTCTACCTCCTGGAGCTTCTCTTCAAACCACTGCAACACAAGCCCAGACCGTCAGGTAAAGGCAGCTACTTCTACAAGGAGAGCTCAGTTTGTCTTTAGCAATGAGAAAAAAGGACATTTCAGGGTTGCCCACCCATAAGCCTGGGGGAAAGGGGAAGGGAGGATGTTCTAAGAGGCCTGGGTTACTTACAATGTCTGATTCATTCATCTTGATGGTCATTTTGCTGACTGCGTCCGTGGCTTTGTTGAACATCTTCAGGAGACCAGCGCCACTCAGTGTCTGGGTACCCACCGCCCGCGGCAGCTATAAGAGCAAGAAGGGAGGGATGGGAAGGTATCTACTGTCCCTATTTGAGGTTCACAACAATGAGTATCCATCAGATGGGCCCCAAACATGCCAAACTAACGATCTGATCTGGAGACTGTTTTCAAAGTCACAGCTAACATGTAAACTAAATTTTTAAAAAGGTAAATGGAACCACCATATTATTCAGTTTTTGACATTGAATAGAGAAAAAAGAAGACTGCTATGTGGCCAGGGGACCTGATGTTGAGATTCTTCTGTCCACTCAGGCACAAACTGCTTAGATACCAAACAAACGTATTCCAAGTCAAAAGTCCTTTTGGTGGAGCATCTCTGCAGACAGGTGGACTGGACAGCACTGCAGGGACGCCACCATTGGGTTGTGAGTTCATTCTGAGTTTCCTCGGGGAGTAAAGGCCCACAGACAAGAGCTCAGTTTATTCAGACGGAGGCAACTTTTAGGGATGATCTAGAAAGGCCAAGTGTGCCAAACATTTATAAAGAATTTGTTCGGTTCCCCTTGCCTGGGATGCTAAAGTCTTCATACTGAGTAGACCAGGCTGAAAAACTAGACTTCAGTGCTCAGGACCTGGGGCAGTGGCTCTTACTGGTGGGCGATTTTACCTCGGAGGGGACAGGTGATAATGTCTGTAGACATTTTTGGTTGTTATAACTGGGGAGAGAACACAATACTCCTGGCTACTAATAGGCGCAGGTCAGGGATGATGGCAAGCATCCTACCATGCACAGGAAAAACCCCCATAGCAAAAAATTACCTGGAAAAAAACAAAACAACCAACTATCTGGTCCAAATAATGCCACCAGGCAAACTCTGCTCTAGGGAGAAGTGGAAAGGAGAATGGATTTAGGGAAGCCTAGAGGATACATGAAAAGTTGATAAAGCATTTTTCATGTTAAAAGTTCATTTTGAAGAAAAAAAAATCTCATATACTTAGTACCACCATTTTATTCATTCGAGACATCTAAGTTGTTGTTAGGTGCCCTGACCCATAGTGACCCTATGTAAAATAGAACAAAACACTGCACCATCTTCATAATTGTTTCTGTGTGTTTGTGCCTATTGTTGTAGCAGCTATGTCAATATCTATACTTTTTACAAAACAGTAGCCTTGTGATGTTACTTATTTCCAAGTCAGTTTCTTTCCTCGGAGGTAAAACATTGTTTTATTCTGTTTCTTTGATCTTCAGTGGCTTACATATTCCCATAGCTGTTATTTATATAATATTTATGCTCCTCCCTCCCACAGATTTTAGTAAACTTTAATTCATAAATGACAGAGTGCTGTGAATGAGAAAATTGGGGTTCTGTTTGTTTTTTAATTCTTCTTTTTTTTAAAAAATCATTTTATTGGGGGCTTGTACAATTCTTAGCACAATCCATACATCCATCCATTGTGCAAGCACATACGTACATTTGTTGCCATCATCATTCTCAAAACTTTTGCCTTCTACTTGAGCCCTTAATATTGGCTGCTCATTGTCCCCCTTTCTCTCCATTCACCCCTCCCTTTATGCTTTGCTTTTTATAGTTCTTTTTAATATATTCTTTCAAGTACAATCACGTCTCTATACTTTATGATGAGAATAAAGTATTTCTTGCATTGAAACATTTCACTTAAATCCCCAAATGTTAGCAATTGGGCTTTCTCCAATTTTCACAATCATGAATAGCCTACGCAAAGCCTGCCAAGTAGACTGACTACTTTAATAATTGATACATTTCACTTAAATCCCCAAATGTTAGCAATTGGGCTTTCTCCAATTTTCACAATCATGAATAGCCTACGCAAAGCCTGCCAAGCAGACTGACTACTTTAATAAACACTTGGCTGCATGGCAGTTCTATGGTCTGCAGTCATCAGTTTTTAACCAATGTCCCTCAGCTCCTGGCACAAATATAGGCATTCAGTTTGAGCCACATAGTAACCTAAGACAAGACATGTCAAGGATTTACTAAACACATTGCTGTGTTGATCTAATAAGACAAAACTAGGTTGCAATTTGACCTCTATAACCCTTCCCCACCCCACCCACCCCCACCCTACCCTCCCACCCCCCGCAAGGTACATCTTTCATTCCAAAGGTTGACCAAATGCTCGTTACTGTTGGGGGCTTATAAAAATTTGATACAATATGGTACTAGACTATAAACCTGTTAAATGCTCAAATATTTGTTGAATAAATTAGTTTTTCTTCATAAGGAGCAAATGAAAATGATGGCAGGTCTTGTGTGCAGTACTGACCTCTTCCTTTTCCAGGAACTCCCTGACGTCAGGGTCCTGTAACATGGTAGGGTGATTCACAACCCTCTGGAGGTACCTAGAGAGTAAGCAGTTGTCATCAGGTTGGTCAATTGGCTTCACAAGATTTGGGGTATCGCAGTTCTGTTGGGAGGGGGCTACCTTACTCATTTCTTTACAATGTCCTTAGATAAGGCACTTAAGCAAGACTGCTTGTACTATATTCAGTTCATGGTCTTCATGTTTCCAAAGGCATTCATATCTGATTGTCCAGGAAGAAGACCGTCTCCCCACTCGGGATGAGGGGCCCATTGCTCCGACGGCGGAAGGCAGTGACTTCGGAAAGAGGAAGAACTGCATCTCCACCGACTGGAGTCAAAATGTCTCAAGATTAAGCCTGTTTCAGTTTCTTGTTTGTCTGCATGTTACTCAGGAAATGGGCTCCTGTTTGTCAGACTTACCTTTCTAGAGCAGCCCTTCGTTTTTCAAGAAATTCTGCAGAAGAAGAATCTTCCTTCCCAACTTTCACTTTTGTCATTCCTGAAATGGAATAAAAAAAAATCGTAAATCACGAACATGATGTTTGATTAAAAAAGAGATGCCCACAGGAAGAAAGCCAGCGAGGGCAGAGCTACAAAATACAACCTACCTATCACGAAACAGCAGAGGGCTTGAACAGGCACTTCACCAAAGAAGACACACAAATGGCCAATAAGCCCATGAAAGAATGCTCCTTATGAGCAATTAGGAAGATGCAAATCAAGACCACAAAGAGCTATGTCACTGCCACGAAATGGTTCTGCTAAGAAAGGAAGCTGCAAGTGAGGGGAGGCTATGACAAAGTCGGGGCTGGCCCTGGCCAGGGGAAAGTACAGTGGGAGAGCTGCTGTGGATGACAGTTTGGTGGCTCCTCCAGAGCGAGGCAGCATGACCATGGGACCCAGCAATTCCACTTCTGGCCGTGTACGCCAGAGAACGGAAATGGGACCTCGAGCAGAATTTGTACAACAATGTTCATGGCAGCACGAGAGCCAAGTGGTAAAAACAATCTAGCCATCAATGAATCTACATGCTACATTATGGATGAACCTTGAAAATACTATGCTGAGTAAAATAATCCCATTAAAAAAGATAAACATTGCATAATCCCACTTAGATGAATTCTCTGGAACAGGCAAACAAACCAAAGGTTTAGTGGTGACCAGGGACAAGAAGGAGTGGACAAAGGAAGCTGTTGCTTAGCAGACACTGGAGCACTGTCCATGACGGTAGAATAAATGGTGACGGCAGCACCACAGGATGAATGTGATCAGTGTCACTGAACTGTACAGGTAAAAAATTCTGAATTGGAAAATACTTTGATCACACACACATACAAGGGGGGCTTCAAATAGTTTATGAAAATATGGAATTAAAATACAATTTTCCACAAACTTTTTGAAAGCTGTGTGTGTGTGTGTGTGTGTGTGTGTGTGTTTACTACAATTCAAAAGCAACAACAGAAAGCCAAAACCAACAAAGCAAAACACAACATAAGGTCACTTCTAGGAGCAAACACGAAGAGAGGTTTTTCACATGAGAGTCATTCCTTATCAGTCTAAGTGCTGGGGGTCCACACTGAGACATACAGCACATACCTCTGTGCCAGGGGACTCTGAGTAGAGATTAATAAGCATCAATTGATGCTCCCAACCATCTCAAACAATTTAGTACATTTCAACCTGGAAGGATCAGCCATCATTTAATATTCCTGAATACAAATTAAAAACAAACAAACTCTGGAGGTGGAAGCAAGAGCCTCTGTGGGAAGAGACCACATCAAAATATACAATTCTCCAGGCCTCGAGTAATTTACAGGAAAACATAACCACAAGATTTTATACTGTTGATCGAAGTAGTCTCATTGAACCAAGTAGTAATTACAATAAAGAAGATAAAGGAAGAAATCCAAGTGGGACTACAGACCATAATCTTACCAATTAGGCTCTTCTCAGGCGGAGGGGGGACGATGAAGCCATTCTGAGCGTGTTTCTCTGAAAGCTTTTCATAAAGACCCAGAAAGTCACTAAATCTTCTTTTCACTGAAAACTGTTTACTTCTGAACATTGGTAAGCTCGTCTGGCAACAAAAACAAGCAAACACACACACAAGGCAAATTCATTCCACATGGGGATAGTGAGTGTCTCGAGAGCCAGCAAAGGAACACAGCTCCAGATCCCTGACCTTTAGCAGCTTGGCAAACATTTTCTCCAAAGAATCCTCTTCAACTTCCTTTAGCTATAAGTCCCCCACCCCTTTTTAAAAATCATTTTATTGGGGGCTCATACAGCTCATCGCACTCCATCCATCCACCCATTGTGTCCAGCACATTTGTATATATGTTGCCATCATCATTTTCAAAACATTTTCTTTCTACTTGAGCTCTTGGTATCAGTTCATTTCGCCCCCTCCCTCCCTCAGTAACTCTTGATTATTTATAAAATATTGGGGTTTTTCCCCATGTCTTACACCGACCGCTGTCTCCTTCCACCCACTTTTCTGTTGCTAGTCCCCCTAGCTATGGCCCCCTTTGGCAGTATGGGGAAGCCCTTCCCAGAATGAATCTAAATGCATAAAATAAAAATAGATAGAATCACAAGGCAACCAATTAAATTCAAATACATTTTCAACCCCAGATTAAGGACTCTTGCTCAAAGAAATAGATGTGAAATTCGAGCTTAATATAAGAATTCCACAGTCACTTATAATCTCTTTGTCCAAAACTGATCTATTAAGGCAGCGGTTCTCAACCTGTGGGTCGCAACCCCTTTGGGGGTCGAACAACCCTTTCACAGGGGCCGCCCGATTCCTAACAGTAACAAAATTAGAGTTATGAAGTAGCAACGAAAATAATGTTATGGTTGGGGGGAACTGTCTGAAGGGTCGCGGCATTAGGAAGGTTGAGAACCACTGTATTAAGGGTATTAGCTGCTGGAATTAGAGCACACTAAAGACAGTCTAAACAGTGATGACATTTCTGAGCTGTAGACATATCAACCTCTAGAGAGTCAGCGCAGCTAGAACTCAAAGGGAGCACCCAGTAAATAGCAGAGAGACAATACAAAGGAGACTTCCAGTCAAAAGGCGAGGCCCAAATCATGATACGCTTTTATACTGACTGGACAGGAAAATGGAAGAAATTGGCCTTTCCAAGTGTTGGCAAGGAAGTGAATCAATGGAAACGTTGATTACATACTGCCAGTGTGGGGGGAGATGAGGCTGCATACCCCTTTACAGATTTACAGTCTCAGAGACCCACAGGGCAGTGCTCGCCTGTCCTATAGCCAGGAGTCAGAAGTGAATGGATGGCAGGGAGCCTGATTTGGTATGATCCAAGGCAGGGTCCTCAAACGTTTTAAATGGGGCCAGTTCACTGTCCCTCAGACCCGTTGGAGGGCTGGACTATAGTTAAAAAAAAAAAACTATGAACAAATTCCTACGCACAATGCACGTATCTTATTTTAAAGTAAAAAAACAAATGGGGCAAAAACACCTGGTGGGCTGGACAAATGTCCTTGGTGGGCCGCGTATGGCCTGTGGGCCGTAGTTTGAGGACGCCTGATCTAAGCCAAGTGGCCACACATATCTGAGAAACTTTTCCAGGTGTGCACTAGAAGATATGAGCAAGAATGTTCATAGTTCATAATTACAAAGACTGGGAAAAACCAAATGAGCACATAGGAAAATGATTTTCTGTAAACTTTGCTATCTACACTCAGTAAAATGTATTTTGTCTGTGTGTTAATTCTTCAAAGGGTTAACAAAAAAAGGGATTTTCAGCAGGTAATCACACTTAGTTTGGGGCAATCCACCCAATGACCATAGTTCTGAAGAGGGATGAGCTACTGCAGCCTCATGATGAAGCGCCTACGGCTCCACACAGGTGGACTCGTTGTTTGAAAGAACATTGGAAAGGTTTAGCCTAAAGCACACAGATGAGGTCCTGAAAGGGGTGAGGCTTACTCACCATAACTAAATGCAAAGGAAAATGTTGAATAAACTAAAGAGATCCTCGGAGTTCATCTGAATGATGACCTTCTTTCTTGGTGTCTAAAGTTTTATGGTGGCCATGAGCAGTGTCACTGGGACTCACCTGTGTTGTAACTTTATAGGCGACGTAGGCATTCATCCCATCCCCTGTGGGAGAAGAAAGCAGGAGAGGATTATTGTGAAAGGCACCGGAGTGTTAATCCCACCAATATTTACCCAGGAGTCATATACCTCAAGATTCCTGGAGGGATACTTGTTTCATCTTGGAATTGTACATGCCCTCCTAGAATCCAGTTCCTACTCTGCCCCTCTGGTGCATAGCATACCCCCACTGGTGCTGGTTGGGCCTCAGTTTTGAGTTAGACAAGAAAATCAGCCCCCTGTTCCAAAGCCAGGCTCATTTTATGCCCGCCACAAAGCAGCACTGGAAACTGACAATCCATCAGTTGTTACCATGCCAATATTGGGGCTGATTACACACATCTGACCCAAGCCACACAATTCTCTTGCTGTATAAAGCAGGATGAGGAGAAGGAAGCATTTGATGTAAAAGGAAACAAGTAGTTCTACCCGAGGCTAGCTCTGGGCTCGGTTTGCTCTTTCAGAAATACCACCGTGGTCCCTTCCACTGGGGCTGGGAGACACTGGCCTCACTGATCTCGCATGTTCGCCCAGGGCAAAGGGCCTGGCAGGAAGACACTTTGGCTGCCTCATGTCACACAAATCTCCCTTTCCTGGGAAATTATTTTTCTGAAAAAGCCTTTTGACTATGAAATAATTTGGGATTCAAGCAACTGCTTTTCTCTGTGGTTGTACCCTGACTTGGACCTCTTGGGGAGAGAAAGGCTCCACTGATAGGGCAATGAGAAGACATGCACTGGATCTAGACATCCACAGCTCCAGTGCGGGGCTATGGTGCTTCCTGGTGCCCTTTGTTCCCGTTCTCCCCATTCTGCTTCTCCCGACCCCAAACAGGAAAGCTTTGTTAACAGTTGCTAGCTGCACAAGCTCCTGAACGAGTCCTGGGTTGGGGGCTAAGGGAAAAGGCAATCTTGAATCAAGAGGGTCAAGTATTACAGCTTGATTTCAATGGGATGGCTGGAAACTAGTGCTTTTACAAGAACAGAGGGCTTACCTTCTCTACCTGCCCTGCCCTGCCCTGCCAAGAGAGTGTGTACGAACAGCTAAACGACAGATTTAGTCATTAGAAATTATATTGATTTAGTTTGCTTTCACCTTTCATTGATTTCAAACCACTTACACCACACTGCCCAAAACTTCTAAGGATATTTGAGGAAAAAATGAAAGAAAACAAACAAAAGTAACTGACAGAGAAAGTATTCAAACTTTCAGTTACATTCAAATAGTCATAGCCACATGTACAAAAGATCTACTCCTGGCAAATTTTTAATACAATTTATTTACCACAATTCAAAAAGAAAAACAGGTCAATCTTGCCATGTAGTGCCTGCAATTTTGGGAACGTTCACACTTAAGGTGCAGTGCAGGATCTTCACATGCTTTGCCTATAGGCCTCCATGCTGCTTTCTCAAAGTGTGTGTGTGTGTGTGTGTGTGTGTGTGTATACAAATGAGCATACCTGCATAATAGATCTGAAAATGGATTAATAATATAACAGTTTTAAAAGTTATGTAAATTTCTCAAACAATTTCAGAGAGTAAAAAATGGCATATGCAAATTACCAGGGCTCCAAAAAGAACATCCTGATAGAAATAGGACACTAATCTATCATGTGTGCAGAAAAGAGAAGACTATGTTGAATAAACAGCCCATAAAACCAGAAGGTGATCTTATAAAGATCATGCCTTCTTTATGCTTTAAGTAGCTGGTTTCTTGATAGCTCCATGACTGGAAACCTAAACAGTGGTGCAAGGGCAGGGAAGGTCATCACCTGAAGAGTGACAGGTTGTTTTAATTATTTTCTCTTCTGGTTCAAACATCGTGACTTGTTAAAGATTATAGCTCAACTATTATTATGTATAACCTGTCTTATCCCAGTGTGGCAGTTACATAAGCTGGTGTCAACTTGTGAAGGGGTGAGGGCTAGCCTGTCAATCAGGTCGCAGCTTGATGACCTCATTTGCAGGTACTGTGGAGATAAATAGCTGACTGGAGGCCAGATACAGACAGACTCTCTGCGTTGTCTTCCTGCTGACAAGACACACGGAGCTACACTAGAGCCCTGGAGCTGGAGGAGTCACGTGGAGACGCCTGCCAGCGTTGTTTCCACTGCCACTGGATCCACAAAACTTTCCACCCACTGGCCCGTGATCTTCCTGCATTTGGCATCATTGCATGTGTTGCATGAGTCTGAAGAGGAATTTATAAATTGGCATTGGTATAGGGCTACTATCGGACATATGGACTTGAACTGGACTGGAATGGGATATTTTCTTAATATACAATTGCTCTTTGATATAAAGTTCTCTATTACACACATGAGTGTCTATGAATTTGTTTCTCTAGTCAACACAGACTAACACATCCAGCAACGAACTGAAGCAGCTACTAACGGGTTTAAAAAAAAAATCAATGTATTTATAGAATATGCATACATATTGGAGAATCATAGACGTATTAACTCAGTTCTGTTCTAGGCTCTACCATGAACCACACAGTGCTCAAACTTAATCCGACTCCGTTCTTTAGGTCTCACTTCCTGTGAGGGAGCTCTGTTAGATGCTAAGAACAGCCCATCAGAGCAACAGTCTAGGAAACGTACACATCCAACGAGTAAATAATACTTCTACTCAAAATTCCTGTTCTGAGTTCAGAATAGAGAAAGGGCTGGGATTTACATTTTTTTCTCTAAAACATATAAACACCACTATTTGGGAGGCAAAGCTCTGCACAGACCCTCCATAGGGGTCATTACCTGGAAGAAGTGAAGTTGAGACCTATTGTTTTCTGTTCACTAAGAACACACATGCTTAGGACAGGGGAAGACTATCCTGAAAATTGAAGATCTAGCCAAAGTTAAGGTTGTGCTTTCTTGAAAACCTAATTTCAATTTGACCAGAATACAAGCTAAGTTCTTTAGTCTCTTATCTATGTAAGAGAGATGTAGACTTTCTCATCTCATCAGGCTATGGGGAGTATATGATAAATGTAACAAGAGTTTCAAGCTTCTGAGAGAAGAATAAGTTCAGTATCCCCACATTTTAACACGAGTTTTTAGAATTCTTAGGTGGAATTTATGATCTCAAAAGAGGCTAAGGTGAGGTGACCAGACGTCCTACTTTTGGCGGGATAGTCCTGATTTTTAACAATTTTTCCCGCACCCTGCAGCATTTTTAAAAAGTCTCGATTTTTGGAAAGAATGCAAGACAAGCTAGGGTATACGCTGCCATGTGGCTATTTTGCCAGGATAGGAGTTTCATCAATGGTGTCCCGCTTTTGTCCCGCTGGACCAGTGTTAGAATCTGGCCACATTAGGTGTTCTCCACCTCTCTGTAGGAGAAAATAATGTAAGATACCATAGATACGTGTGTATAAGCCAAGTTTTTCAGCACTGTTTTTTTTTCATTTTCATTTTCTATGTTTACTTTCTTTTTCCTTTTTTTAAATCATCTTATTAGGGGCTCATACAACTCTTACCACAATCCATCCATCCATCCATTGTGTCAAGCACATTTGTACACTTGTTGCCATCATCATTCTCAAAACATTTGCTTTCCACTTGAGCCCTTGGTATCAGCTCCTCATTTTTTCCCCTCCCTCCCCACTTCCTCTTCCTTCTCTCATGAACCCTTGATTTTCAGCACATTTTTTTTCTTTTTTTCCCAGCACATTTTTAATGCAGTTTTTGTGGTAAAATTAGGTGCCTCGGCTGATATTCAGGTTGGCTGATACACAAATATATATGATATTCTTTTTAAATTAATTTTTAAAAAGCTTTTTATTAAAGGTTTTAACAAAACAAATTCCTGAGCATGATAAACTCCTGACAATTTGGAACTTCATAGTGTCAAAAAGATTTTTCTGTTTATGGGGAAAAAAGAAAAAAAGCTTTTTATTGTGAGTTGGAAGAAGGTTTACGAGCATATCATCAGCTTTACGTTCAGCAGTCCGTGCATGTTCTGTTGGAGAGATCTACTTGTATCTGAAAATCAGTTGTGCAGAGAAGAGACTGCAAACTCCGTGCGAACGCCAGTCCTTCACTGCACGGCAGAGAGAAGCAGTGGCATGAATCAGCATTCCCAGATCCCAGGTGCTGCAGGCACAGGAAATGGCCTAGTTATGCATTCTTTTTCGGGAAAATGTAGACTTTGATCAAGGTAAACAAAGTGTTTCCCTTCAGGTTTCCCTCCCATGGCCTAATTGCAAAAAAGCTGCATTCTAAGAGATTCTTAGAATATTTGATATCCCTGATTTTTCTTTTCAGTGCCAAGAGTCTAAATGAAGTACTAGTGAACTGCTGTTTTCAGTCTCAGAAGTATAGCAAGGGGTATAACTTTACAGGAAAGGTAACAATGAATACTTCACATTGGCTGGCCCAACTACGGAGCAAGACATCCAGAAACAAGCCAACATAAGCAGAGCCTACCATCGCAGGAGCCCCAGGAACGCTTACCAATCTTCTCAGGATCAGTTACACTGACTGTCAAATCAAACTGGTCCTCCTGCTCCTCTTCCTCCAGCTTGTTTGAGAGAAAACAGGGGATGAGAGTTGACACCTAGAGAGCCAGCTGTTAATTTGACCCTGTTCTCATCTTGTATCAATGAGATGAAGAAGATGTAGCATCCCATGTCCATCCCCAGCAATCCCAGTGCACCAACTCTTAAGCTTTTAAGTTGGGAGCCAGTTTATAGGTATTGGGCAAATCTATATCCTTAAAACCTTTACTTTGATCAGAATGACTAATTATTAGACTCTGGAAGACTTGTCTCTTTTAGGCTAAAGAGGGAAGAGACGAGAATGTATTCCTGGATGTGGGAAATTCAGACACTAGGTACCATTAGCGACCTGTGGAAGACTTTGTGCTAGTCTCTGGTTTATAGACACCCTGACTGAGAAAGGGACCTTTATTGGATTCTGGCTGTCCAATAACCACACATGTCTCCTTTGTCAAGAGTCATACATATTGAGTTAGTTTATTGTGCCAACCTGGCCGATCGACACATGTGGGGTTAATTGAAGGCCGGAGGGATAAATGGTTCAGTGACCCTCGCCTTTCTAGTTCTCGGGTCTCTTGCTTTCTGATGGTCGGACGGGGTACAGCTGCCTTAGTCAGTTCCCTGCTTTAGCTGGCAGGGTTCACTTCCTGCAGGATGTCCCTGAGGAGAAGCCACATGGACCTGCCCCAATGCAGCCCTGGGTGCTGGAGCAGCCGTGTGGAGACCCCTGCTAGTGCTGAGATGCTTACACATTCACTGACTCGGCTTTCCTCCTGCAGTTGGCATCATTTTGTGAGATGGAGGAGGACTTTGTGGATTGGTGTCGGACATATGGGTTAATGTTGGACTTGTGGGCTTGGGCAGCACTGGGTTGGGGTGTTTTCTTGATGCACACTTAACGTTTATATAAAACTGTCTCTTATACATGAGTTACTGTGAATTTGTTTCTCTAAAGTACCCAAACTAATACACATATTTTCTCAGGGTTTATACACAACTGAACTTCAGAATGATCACATAGAGACCTAAGAATCTCAAAGAAACAAGACCAATAATGCATATTCTCACCTCTTCATAGCTTGGCTGGGGCTTAGAAAAATGTGTGGCTTCCTGTGATGGAAGAGCAACGAGTGTTCTGGCTGCTATCTTCTTCTGGTTGTTCTGAGCACTGTCCAGGGATAGCTCCACTGTGGCATCTAAAAGGAGTTGATAATTGAAAAACAAGGTCAACAATATGTCTTCGATAGCTCAATTCCATTATGTACACCAAAACATAAGAATATTCCTATCAATACTAACAAGATCTTAGGCTTCGAGAATAAAAGCCATGAAATGTTCTGTGATCAAAGGGCAGGCTATTAAGAAAAGTGTTCTTAGCAGAACAACCCCTTTGGGTCTTTAGAAAAAACTATTTGGCTACCCGCTCTTACCTAGAATTAAGGCAAAAACCAGGAATCATGCACAACAACTGCATAATCAAAATAACTTTTATTTCACTCTTTACTAATTTATTTAGTATATTTATTTCACTCTTACTAATATACTTTTAGAACTTTAGATGAACACTATTTGTTCTTGTACAATTGTTTGTAGAGGAATGGTAAGTTCCATTGCCTGCTTTAAAAACCACAGTGATAGAAGAGGTAGATGTACTGACAGCAAACAATTATATCAAAGGAAGGGTCAGGGAAAAAAATGGATCCAAGATACAAACACATATATCTCCACAGGGAAAGACTTCAACCCGGTGCTCCAAGATGTGAATGCAACATACCGGCATGGAGCAGGGAACCAGTGGAGAGGTCTGAGGGGCCGGCCCCAATCCCAACTATGTGGAGAGCCACCCCTCCCTCCAGAAGAATTTATTTCAGAGGACAGCACTGAAGCTGCAGCCCAGGGAGAGGGACTTGTCTGCTCAGTGCACACTGGAGCAAATGAAGGGGGAGAAAGAGAGAGTGGAGCACATCCTGGCCCACCAAGCCTTGAGGATGATATTCCCTCTCAGAGCAGCCCATGCACAAAGAGGACCATGTGGCTGGCCCCACTATGAGACACGACATCCCTCACTGACCCATAACCCTACAGGGGACAACACTGGGGACACAGTGTGTGAATTGCTTATCTAAATAAGATAAGCTAGATGAACAATCCGGAGGAGAAAATAACAGGAACTGTGGTTGGAGGGGAGAGGGGGCTGAGAGAGGGGGAGGTAAGGGGAAAGGAAGTGGTGTTAACAAACTCAGGGACAAGGGAACAACAAGTGATCCAAATCAGTGATGAGGAGGGTGTAGGAGGCCTGCTAGGGCGTGATCAAGGGTATTGTAACCGAGAGGAATTACTGAAACCCAAATGAAGGCTGAGCATGCTAGTGGGACAAGAGTGCAGTAAAACAAAATAGAGGAAAGAACTAGGAGGCAAAGGGCATTTATAGAGGTCTAATTAAAGGCATGTACATATGTACATATATTTATATATGAAAGTGGGGAAATAGATCTATGTGCATATACTTATAGGTTTAGTATTAAGGTAGTGGATGGACATTGGGCCTCCACTCAAGTACTCCCTCAATGCAAGAATACTTTGTTCTACTAAACTGGCATTCCATGATGTTCACCTTCCCGATATGATCGCTGAAGGCAAATGGGTGCATAAGCAAATGTGGTGAAGAAAGCTGATGGTGCCTGGCTGTCAAAAGATATAGTGTCTGAGGTCTTAAAGGCTTGAAGGTAAACAAGCGGCCATCTAGCTCAGAAGCAACAAAGCCCACATGGAAGAAGGACACCAGCCTGTGTGATCACGAGGTGAAGGGATCAGGTATCAGGCATCAAAGAACAAATAATCAAATCATTGTGAATGAAGGGGAGTGCATATTGGGGACCCAACCCCCATTTGTAGGCCACTGGACATCCCATTACAGAACAGTCTCAGGGAGGAGATGAGCTAGTCTGGGTGCAGTGTAGCAAAGATGAAACATACAAATTTCCTCTAGTTCCTAAATGTTTCCTCACCCCCCATTATCATGATCCCAATTCTACCTTAAATATCTGGCTTGACCAGAGGATGTACACTGGTACAGATAGGAAGTGGAAACACAGGGAATCCAGGACAGATGATCCCTTCAGGACCAGTGGTGAGAGTGGCAATACCGGGAGGGTGGAGGGAAGGTGGGGTAAAAAGGGGGAACCAATTACAAGGATCTACATATAACCTCTTACCTGGGGGATGGACAACAGAAAAGTGGGTGAAGGGAGATGTCAGACAGTGTAAGATATGACAAAACAATAATAATTTATAAATTATCAGGGGTTAATGAGGGAGGGGGGAGTGGGAAGGGAGGGGGAAAATGAGGAGCTGATATCAAAGGCTCAAGCAGAAAGCAAATGTTTTGAGAATGATGATGGCAACAAATGTACAAATGTGCTTGACACAATGGATGTATGGATTGTGATAAGAGTTGTACGAGCCCCCAATAAAGTGATTTAAAATAAAAAAGATATAAACACAGTGACACTTGGTTAAGAACACTGTCACGCTGCTAACTTTGTCACAACTTCAGCATGGTTGGCAATGAATGTTTTATACTGTCTTGCAAAGATTAAGTTGTTTTTAATCTATCTGTAGGGGGGCAGGAAAAGATGTAATATCCAAAAAGCTTTCTAATCAAAATAATTTTTTAAAGTAGTGCTTAAAAAAGAGTCATCCTTTGGCTATCTGGATAGCTAGAGGAATGACTTATTCCCAAGTGTTTGAGAGAGGGCAGTTTAAAAACAAAACACAAAAACAACCAGATGAAGTAAAAGTAGGACCACACAAGTCCCACGTAAGCAACTGGGTGAATCGGTGTGTTTGGAACAAACAGTAGGTACTGTCATTCAAGATGGCAGACTTGCCAGAGCACCTCTTTGGACAACCTGTGCATGTTCAACTGAAGTTTACTTGACAAAGATGTCAAAACTTACATTTTAAAAAAGTTTCGTTTTGAACTCTTGATAAGAGTAATGGAAAGGCTATTGGGCTTCTCATCAGAGACTGATCATCACTAATCAGGTGGGAAGCAAAATCAGAGTAGCTCACTTCCCCAGTCAGTATCTAAAACATTACAGAAGCTACTCAAGTCCTAAAACTGTAGGCATCCCTCCCTATAGATGACTGTTCTTTTTCCCGTGGTGGCTGCTTAAGACACTGATAGGGGAATTGGGCAAATCAGAATCCTCATTCAACATAAACATGCCCCTAATAACGATTTTTACATGCTCATGTACATAAAACCCAATCACAGGGTAATTCTTTGGTCACACTAAAGTTTCAGGTTTTCTTATTAGAAAGGGTAATTAATATAAATGTAATATCCCAAAGATAGGAAATTCAAAGTCTTTTCGATCCAAGCTCATTTATATATCTCTTCCAGAAATGTTATCCAAAAAAGTCACTACCAGAATGAATAGGGTATGTTTTATGATTTAAGGATGAGAGAGGCTGAGACAATCTTCTAAATCGTTATAGGCCTTCTAGAAGAATAGCATTCTCTTTCATGTCTTTCAGTTTCCCACCAGAGATCTAATATGAGAGCCTACCCAGCCCTTCCTCTGTCTTGGCTTTCCTCTTCGCCACCAGTCTTCTCTTAGAGGATTTTACTCACGCGGTCCCTTCCCCTTGCATGGAAACTCTGGGAAGATGGCTGTCCCATTTCCAGTCTTCCCAGTTTCCCCAGGCAGTATATCACAGTTCCAACAGCCTCCTGGGTATTTCCCATTGCATTTCAAACTTAAAATATCTGAAATCTAAACTGACTTTCTCCCTGACGGTCAGTTTTTTTTCTTTAGAATCTAGTTCTATAAATGGTTATTTTCCTCTCAATCCTTGAACTTGAAACTTTGAACTCTGGTTTTCAACTCTCATTTTGGAACATGCATTTCATCCAATCACTACCATCTGATTTTGGCGCTCTTTTGAAAAGTTTGTACCTCTCCATTCCTACAGATTCTGTCCCTATAATTTTAGGTTTGGCCATTTCGTTCACAAACTTATTTTTGAATGCCTTCTGAAAAGCCTCAACTTTGCCCGCTACAAACCATTCTATGCAATCTCATTACATTAGTTTTCCTAAAGCATTATGTTGCCCATATCATTTTCCTTACTCAAAACTGCCAATGATTCTTAATTGGTGCTAGGATAAAAATTCAATCTATAGTTGTAATTACTACCATCAATATTCCTCCCAAACCACATCTCCAGCCTTATTGTCCATGGCTTTTCTAAGCCCAGAAGAGGCCCAACAGCTCCCTCACTGTCCCCCAAGCACACCTTATGATTCTTGCCCAACAGTTTGTACACTTTTTCCTTTTTGCCTACCTAAATTGTGCTTCTTCCAGGAAGTCTTTCAAGGCCAGTCTAGACCAGGTTTCCTCAAGCTCAACATTGCTGACATTCTCGGCTGGATACTAAGGAGTTGAATCCGGTATGCTGTGGGATGTTTAGGAATATCCATAGCCTCTACCCATTAGATGCTAGTAGCACTCGCTCCCCAGTTGTGACAGTCAAACATGTCTCCAAGCATTGAAAAAAATCTCCTGGGAAGCAAAATCTGAAAATAGGGTAGTCTCCCCAAACAAAGAATTATTCATCCCAAAGCTTAATGGTACCCCAGGTTGAGAACTCCTTCTCTCGACTAGTGTTTTCCAAACTGCAGGTGGGGCTCACTGGTAGATTGTGAATTCAATTCAAGGGGTTGCCAAGAGGATTTTATAAAGTGAAACAATAGAGAACTGCATACTGAGTCAGTAGTAGTAAGGGCAAATAACTTTTGTTTTAACTTTGTACAAGTAAATAAAAAGGGGCTTTAACGGGTTCATGGAAAAAAGGGAATAAAAAAATAATGGATAATTAAAAAACAATTAAAATATACTCTCTAGTGTAGATTTTAGATTGGGGTATGAAATGGATCTCTTACTAAGAGTCCCCATCATAAAAATCGGAAACTGCTGTCTTCAGTCTGTGCTCTCTTGCTCCTAGGAGTGTGTGAGTACCACACCTCCAGCCACATTTCTAGTATTATTTTAATAGTTATTTAGCTCACATTTTTAATTATATACGTTTGCCGTACTCCTTATGCTTGTCATGATGACAGTCTCTTGTATGTTATTTGTTTTTTTAGTTTTCCATAATAGTATTTTGCATAGAGTTATGTTCTCAATACTTTTTCTTTGACTTTAATCCAACTCACATAAGGTGTGTATGGCTTTGACTTTAATCCAACTCAGCCACTTAACAAATCCATATCCTACTTGCCTGTAAAAAGATCCTGGGGCTCTTGGTCTTGGTCCTCATGGACCCCATTTTCTCTGGAGCCACTATTGACGAGAACCAGGGAATCAGCTCTCTTTGGAGACTGGGACTTAATCTGAAAACAAAGAGAAACTTTGGATAAAATAATGCCATTAAAAAGCAACCCCAAAGATAAAAAAAGAAAAAAAAAAAAAGCAACCCAACCTGCTCAAAGAAAGTGATCTTTAATGCATCCCTCAGTGGCTCTCAAAAGTGTTTAGGGAAAGGGTAGAGTCATTTGTCACTTTAACCCTGGTGTTCTATATAAACAACAACTCATTGTTAGTGAAGTAAATGTTACAGAACAAATGACAGTATGAAAATAAATGTCTAGATCTTTCTGTATCATAGGGCTAATTTCCTAACCTTGCTCCACCACGTGTCTGTCAGTCTGTTACTCTGTGGTGCTTGCGTGATTTGGTGGTGCTGGAAGCTTTGCCACTGGTATTAACAATGCTGAACAATGGTGAACTGGATTTAGCAGAGCTTCCAGACTAAGAACAGACTACGAAGAAGGAAAGACTAGGCTGTCCATTTAGGGTGGACACCTTATGCATACCATCGGACACTGTCAGAGATAGTGCCAGAAGATGGTCCCTCAGGTCTCAAGGCACTCAAAATATGACTGAGGAAAAGCTTACTTCTCAAAAATAAAGTCAAACATCATGACGTGAATGGAAGGCACCAAAAAATGAAATGGAATGCATAAATATCGATATCCTTAGTGTTAATGAGCTGAAAAGAACTGGTATTGGCCATTTTGTATCAGAAAATCATATGGTTTACTAAGCTGGGAATGACACATTTAAGATGAATGGCGTTGCAGTTTTGGTCAAAAAGAACATTGCAAGATTTATCTTTTTTTAAAAATCGTTTTATTAGGGGCTCATACAACTCTTATCACAATCCATACATACATCAATTGCGTAAAGCACATTTGTACATTCATTGCCCTCATCATT